TAAACTTCTATCGTCCTTATCTCCCCTTCTTCTTTTTTATGTTTGTTACTCCCTTGTAACACCTCTAATCTTCTGGCGCTCATGTGACCTTATGCAGTTGCGAGCGCCGAAAACCCCCTACTAAACTAAAAACTAAAAACTTATGTCCAACAAAATAGTCTGATGTATGGTTGAAAAAGGGTCTTTGAAATCCGCATATTATCTTGAAGAGCCACACTTTTTTCACCTTAAAAGAAACATTTTCCTTTTGCTTTTATGGGGTTTGACTGATCCAGAAATTTCCACAGCTCAGTTTGGGGACACCGCTCGTATTTAAACCAATCATGTACATGACATGTAGATATTATTTATTTTTAAGTTTTTGTCGAAAAAAAGAATATGTCAACTCACTTCATAGAACTACGCAACGGTAATAATATTTCCTTGTAATTAAATGTATGTGGAGGGGAACATATGTGAGGCAGCGTGGTGGAATCAGGCTCTCGTCAAAATAATCAAAGTGAAGAAACTTGCATTTTTCTGCAGGTTTTTGAATTTTTTTCAAATTTTTGTTTTTTGTCTCAACACCTTTCATGCCCATTAAAGAACTCATTATCATTTCTGTGTGGATTTTTCTGAAAAACGTTGATTAAAGGCACAAAAAATGTAAATTTTCAGTTACCACGGGACTTTTAAGCTAAGGAAATGACTAATCTTTGGTTGCCATTTTCTCACATATTTTACCCTTGAAAACAGGTGATCCCCACCTCCTTCTTTTGCAAATATCTCGACTTGTATTCAAGATAAATGGCTATTTTTTCATCCAAATAAAGGCAAGTGAAAAAGCTTTAAGATCATACCAATAACTCTACATGCCCAAAAATTGACGAGAGCCTGATTCCACCACGTCGTGGCACATATTTATACTGGTTATCCCATCCTGTAATCTCTGATATGAGAAAGGAAATGTATGTTATTTTTTTTATATTTTTAATGGGGGGGGGGGGGATTTTATTATTTTGGAGCATACGAACAGTGTACAGTTTATTATTGTGTGTTCAGCCTTTGCTAAGGCTGCAGAAACTTAACCCCGTTTCTTCATGCATTTGTATCATGTACAATGATAATTTTTGGGCAATATTTTTTTTAAACTGTCGTGTACATGCATGCATCTGCATTCTAGTTTGGGTCTCATGGCTGCATACGAACGAAGACTTTAAATAAATAAATGGTCTTGTGTTTCCCAGTGGTGATGACTGTTCAGATCCTTCAGACAGTTGTAGGCTGGTTTGTAGATAAATGCCCTCAGCTACTGCACTCGAGGGTGGCTGGAAATCCATATAAACATATATATATAACACAGATAGCTCAAATTCGTCTGGACTGGGCTCAGTAGTTCGAGGGATCCATAGTTCAAGGGATATCTTACAAAGATAAAAGAAGAAGAAGAAAAATAAGGGTCGCTGGCACATTTCGAGGGATGCGTGTTCAACTAATCCGTGTTATACTGTAGTTTAGTTTTCGGAAGAGTTTTACGGCACTTTCAACACAATAAGGTCATATAATTGCCGAAGAATAGATGTGTTACAAGAGAGTAACATACACATAAAAAGAAGGAGAGATCAGGCTGGCAGATGTTTGATATGAAAGAAGGAGCAAACCACACCAGAGCACCCGCCAATCACCCACTGTTAAGATTTGATTTGTAAAAGTATGTGTTTGTATATTTTACATATATCGTCAGCAAGCTGTTCAGTTGTTCTAAGCCCGGACAGCAAAGTTTTTCAGGAGAGAGAAGAAAAAAAATTTTATTTAAAAAAGATTAACTACGAATACTGTGGACTGCGGATGGGTTGATTTTGATGTCCTCGGGGTAATGAAAAAAAAAGATACTACTCGTCTGAAGTTCAAGTTATAACCCTAGGGAACTGTAAAGAAGAAGAGGTATACGAAGAAGAGGTGCTGGGACCTGAGAAAAAGATAATAATAATATATAACATTTATATAGCGCATTTCCAAAAAAGTAGCTCAATGCACTTTACATTGGAATACACATATTCAAAACCTTTCTTACTACTTCCTTTCTTTTCTTGCAATATATTATATATTTATGCACTCACACACACACACATACATACACACGTGCGCGCGTGCGCTGACTATTTTCATTCAGACGTAGGCACAGAACAACTATAAGAATAATGCTTAGTAAAAGGTTATGAAGGATAGGCCTGTGGGAACAGGAAAGGCTCAAGATGTCTTCTGAAGTTATCAAGTGTTCTTGTTTGCCTTAGTTCAACGGGAATCTGTTTCACCTAAATCAACCTGAGATCAACTCAACCGAAGATCGACACTAGCAGAGTTGACTGTGTCTCGTGTGTTTTTTCGGGGCTATTTCCATCATTAAAACTTTTTGCTATTTTAACAAGATATTTACTGAGCACATGCAACAGATACCAAAAATTCAGAAACTCACGAAAAAAATATTTGTGAGGCAGCGTGGTGGAATCAGGCTCTCGTCAATTTTTGGGCATGTAGAGTTATTGCTATCATCTTAAATCTTATTCACTTGTCTTTATTTGGGTGAAAAAAATATCCATTTATCTTGAATTCAAGTCGAGATATTTGGGAAAGAAGGAGGTAGGGGTCACCTGTTTTCAGAGGTAAAATTAGTGAGAAAATGGCCGCCAAAGATTAGTTATTTCCTTAGCTTAAGAGTCCGTGGTAACTGAAAATTTACAATTTTTGTGCCTTTAATTGACGTTTTTCAGAAAAATCCACTCAGAAATGAGTTCTTTAATGGGCATGAAAGGTGTCGAACCAAAAAACAAAATTTTATAAAAATTCACAAACCTGCGGAAAAATGCAAGTTTCTTCACTTTGATTATTTTGACGAGAGCCTGATTCCACCACGCTGCCTCACATTTTTTAACATTTTGAGCTTACTGAACAGCTGAATGACTACAGATTTCCTGCTGAATACAAAAAACAATGGCCCTTTTTTTCTAATGTGCAACAAGTGGAAACATTGAACTGATCTGAAGCTTGAATTCTGAACTAACAACACTGTAGACGAATTTAAGAAAACTTTGTATATTTGACCATTATTAACATAAAATGGCCCAGTTTAATTAGGCCATCGGTAGATGTATTTTGTGTGCTATTCATTTTTGCTGAAATATCATGTACACTTTCTATTAAAAAAAATAAACATGAATTTCATGGATGTTACATGATGCGGAAAAGCTTGACCTTCGTTTATTTTTATTTTGATTTTTTCCTCTTCGTTTGTTCTTTGTCGCAGCGGTTGGGGTTGGTGCCTCTGGTTGGTACAAACTTTTCTTTCACTGTTGTATCTATGTCGTTCTTTCTTTTTTCCTGCATTGAATGATCATTATCGGTGGGTGGGTGGGTGGTGCTCTGGTGTGGTTCGTTTCTTCTTTCCTATCAAACATCTATCGTCCTTATCTCTCCTTTTTTTTTGGTGTTTATTACTCCTTTGTAACAACTCTAATCTTCGGCACTTATATGACCTTATTGTGTCACAAGTGCTGTAAAACTCTTACTAACACTAATTCAGTTCAATTTTGACAGGCATCTGTGGCGTAGGGGTTGGGTACTTTGACGACATATGCAGAGGACTCAAGTTTTGGTTCTTTTGTGGGGAGAATTCTTATCATATCTCGGCCTTTCTGTCGGGATACTGCACGTCTGCATCCCTCCAAGTCTAAGCCCCTTCAACCTGGATTGACCGTCAAGGCAGAGTCCAAGTCAGCCTCCTCAATCATCTAAATTGTGTGAATGAGGGCAGAAAACCCATAAATTATTTGTTCTGTTCTGTCTCTTTTATTTTTATAGTAGAGGGTTTTACGGCGCTCGCAACTGCATAAGGTCATATGAGCGCCAAGGGGTGGGTGTCAACAGAGAAGTCTTTACAGTGAATCAGATTTATTCTGCTCACCTCTCTAGCTTCAACAGCACAAGGTCTGCTTTGACTATCATTAGGCACCCCGGAAATAGCAGGTCACAAGAGAGTGACAAACATACAAAAGGAGTAGAGGAAAAATGACAATAGTAAGGATTAGGAAAGAAAAAGCAGTAG